TGGCGCACCATGCCCCTCCCAGAACCTCCCCGCGAGTCGCCCGCGAGCCGCGGGCCCCCCAGTCGCTGGGGTTGCGCCGTCGCGAGGCAGGCCCAATTACGAGCAAAGGGGGAATGTCACCAGTCACCAGCCAGTGGGAGAGAGAGAGAGAGAGAGAGAGAGAGAGAGAGAGAGAGAGAGAGAGAGAGAGAGATGCAACCATAATATCACATGGCGTCGGCACGTGGCAACGACCTGTATACACCATCTCATCCACATCTTCCGCCCCCCTCTGTCGAATCGCTACCCCTGTTCGTCGCCGCAACCGCTTATGTCTTCTGGCACGGGCCCGCTCCCCATGAACCCACGCCCCCGAGAACCTTATGAAATACTTCCAACGAGCCGCACTCCAACAAGATAGCGTGCTGAGTGTTCGCGCTCTTGTGGAGCGCACTGCAGCACCCGTACCCCAGAGTAGTTAAGGGAAGGTGTCTACTGATACCTGTTCCAGTGGTGCTCGCAATCTTATCCTCGTCACACACCGTCGGTTTCCATGACACCCTGTCCTCGAGCAGCGGATAAAAATTATAAGGTGGTTGAGGGCTGCTGTCGCCTTGCCAGTGCCTGCTGGAACAAAGACGGCGGGCGAGCTCGCGCTGGTACAAGATCTCCAACACGCCCACTCGGGACCCGATTTTATACCTGAACTGTGGAGGCATGTTCGTCTTCAGGTCGGCCAACACGCCACGCAGCACGCCGTCATCTGGAATAGCCATTCTGCAACACAACTCAGTGACCTCATGCAGTGGGGTCAAGCCCTCGTTCTTCATATACTGTGCGAGCAAGAACGTGCGGAGTTGGGTCTCAGGCTGAACGCCGCGTTTTATCGAGCGGCAGCGGGTGGACCCCAAACAGAAGGCAAGCCGCGGCGCCCCCGCCCCCCCTCCCCCCCCACCCACCCCCACCCACCACCCACTCCCTGCGCCACCTCCGCACCCCGCCACTACACCCCCTACCCACCCCGCGCCCACCACACCGCCCACCCAACCAAGAAAAAACATAAAAAAGAAAGCACACGCGCGATACGCGGCGCAATCATGAATATCACGGGGGCGCCAACCACGAGGCCCCGCGAGAATTAATCGCGGAGCGACGCCCGCGAAACACCGAAACGACCGTCACCGCGTTGCGCCCGCCATCGGGCGTCAACCTCGGGGCGCAATCCAGATTCCCGATACTGCGCAAACCATGCGGCGCCACACGGAGCGACACCACCTCACGCATCATCATCCGCCTCGGGTACCAGCGCGGCGCGGTCGCGCGGCCCATTGTGAGGGGGCAGGGCTTCTGCGTGCAAACACTGTTTGGGGAATGGCGAAACCCGATAGGGCCCGTGCCAGAAGCAAGCCCGCTCCCCTTCCCCGTCCTCGCTGGCTTCTCTCCCATGCTCTGCCCCTCTCTCTCGCAGTAGCGGCGGGGGGGGGGCGGGAGGCGGGGGGGTGGGGGGGGAGAGGGGGGGGGCAGCGACTCCTTCCAAATGAAGTCCCCCTTCAAGAAGCCGTGGGACTTCTTGTTCTTCTTCTCGAGCGCCACGGCCGATGAGCTCGGGCCCAACTTCTCGGCGAGAGAGGGTGGCGGGGGGATGCGTGGGAGGTGGGGGGGGGTGGGCAAGCGGCAGGAGGGTGATCTGGAGGAGGACAAGAGACGGCATGACAAGGAAGAAGGATAGGAGGAGCAGGATGTCGCCTGAGGAGGAGGAGGAGGAGAGGGTGGGGGAGGAAGGCTCGGAGGAGGAGGAGGAGGAGGACTGAATGAGGAGTTGCTGGGCGGAGAGCGGCCGCTGCGGTGGTGAGACGATTAGACGACGATGAACGACGCAGACGTCGGCGATGCGACGACGACGACGAGGGTCGGCGACGACGACGTGCGCACGACGTGCCACGGACGACGGACGCGCGCGACGAGCACCACGAATCACGAAGAGCGCCTTCGACGACGACCGACGACGACCGACCGACGACCAACGACCGACAAACGACGTCGACGTCGACGTCGACGTCGACGTCGACCGACGACGGCGACGACGACGACGACGACTCGACGGCGACGACGACGGCGACAACACAGACGGCCGCGGCGGCGACGGCGACGGCGGCGGCGGCGACGACGCGCGGCGGCGGCAGCGACGCAGACGGCGGCGGCGGCCGCCCTCAGACTTCATCATCCTCCTCCGCTCCTCCGTTTCCCCTTTCATCATCTTCCCCATCCTCGACTCACCCCCCTCCCCCTCCACGCCGCGCAACTCCCCCAGGAGCGGCAGCAGTCCTGAAGGAGGGAGACCGCCGCTGAGCCGCGCGGCGGGAGGACGCCCGCCCGCCGCGCGTGCTCGCGGCCTGTCAGCGCGAAGCGCTGGCCAGCCAGGATCTTCTCGCACAGCTCCAAGGGCAAGCGAAAAGCCTCCCGCTCCGCGGGTCGGGCGGCCGGAGGCGGGGGGGGAGGCACCTGGGGTTAGGGGCGGAGAGTGCGGGGGACGATGGAGGGACGAAGGGCGGAAGAGGGGGGTTCGGGGTGGGAGGGGCGGCGGGACGGAGAAAAGGATGGGGAGAGGACGTCGCGACGACGGAGGCGACGAGGAGGAGATTGGGGCGAGGACGACGACTCGACGACCGACGACCGACGAGGAGGAAGACCTGCGGCCTGCTGCCACAAGCATAGCCGAGGCTGGCCAGTGCATCTGCACCAATCGTGGGCACATCCAAGTTGCACACTTGGAGCCGCGACTTCGCGCTGTCGGTCGGGATCGTCTTCGGACTCCCGTCGACCGCGGCGAAGCGTGAAATGCGCCAGTACAGCGGCTCGGCGTCGGAGGTCAACCCCTGCGCCTCTGTGCGCGCACTGCGCACTGCGCACCTCCTCCTCCCTCCTCCGAGGCCCGAGGCCGCCGAGGCCCTTCAGCCTTCCTCCTCGTCCTCCTCCTCCTCCTCCTCCTCCTCCTCCTCCCCCTCCTCCTCCTCCTCCCCCCTCTCCTCCTCCTACCTCCTCCTACCTGCCTGCATCTGTGCGCGCACCTCTGGGTGCGAGCATGTGGCGGGGTCCACGGAGTCGCAGGCCGCGAGCTCCATGACCCCCCACGCGCGCACCGTCGTGGACGAGGCAGCGGCGCGACTCGCGCCGCTGCCCGCCCACTTGGAGGCGTCCAGCGACACCAGGAGGAAGCTGCGAGGAAGGAGGTTGCCCTCCTTCTTCCTCGCAGCTCCCGTCTTCTTGTGCCTGCCAGGGCCGACGTCTTCGACGTGCGGGAGCATGGTCGAAGAGGCGGGGGGCGTGCGGACGGGGGTACTACTCTCTTGTGTGACTTCGCTCGACTACACAAATACGACAACGACAACGACGTCGACGACGGACAACGGACGGAGGACGACGGACGACTACGACGTCGACGTCGACGACCCGACGACTCGACGACTCGAGGACGGCGAGGCGGTCGAGGAGGACGGTGGTGAGGGACGACGACGACGGACGACGACGACTCCGACGACGGACGACGGCGACGCACGTGCGACGTACGACGTACGACGTAAACGGACGACGGACGAGTACGCGAGCACCACGACGACGACGGCGACAACGACGACGACGACGACAACGACGAACGATGAACACGACGACGACGATCACCACGACGATCGACGACGACGACGACGACGACGACGGCGACGACGACGACGACGACGACGACGACGACGACGGCGACGGCGACGTCGGCGACGACGGCGGCGGCGGCGGCGACGACGACGAACGACGAACGCCTCCTTCCTGCCTCTCTCCTCCATCCTCCCTCCCCTGGACTCTTGGACTCCGAATGCCGCCCCCGCGGCCCGCGGCTCGTCGCGGCTCGTCCATCATGCCTCCTCCCTCCTCCTTCCTCCTCCTCCTCCCTCCTCCCTCCTCCTCGTCCACCCTCCCTCACTCCTCCTCGTCCATCCCTCCTCCCTCCTCCTCGTCCATCCTCCTTCCTCACTCCTTCCCCCTCCTCGGAGCCTCCTCCCCCCCCACCTCCGCCCGCACTTCCCCGCCCCGTCTCGCGGCGCCGCCGCGGCGGCGGCGCCGCTGGGCGCCGCCGCGGCCGGCGGCCGCCGCCGTGGCCCGCGCGGCCCGCGCGGAGCCGCGGAGGGCGGAGGCCCTCAGCCACAATGGCTGAGCGGCGCAGCACGCGCGCACGCGCGCGCGCCGCACCCAACCCCCCCGAAAACATTTCCGAAACCACCTCCCTCTCGAAACCGCACTCCCCTTCCACCGCACCCCTACAACCCACCGCACCAAAAAAACTGAAAATGGCTGTAGCATGTAATAAAAAACTGCAACATGTTAAAAAGAAGGTGTTTCTAAAAATCTACGAGTTGTAATCCTCCTCCTCCTCCTCCTCTTCCTCCTCCTCCTCATCCTCCTCCTCCTCTCCTCCCCCTCCCCTCCCCCCCCCCCTCCCCCTCCTCCTCCTCCTCCTCCTCCTCCTCCGACTCTCCTCCTCTCCTCTCCCCCTCCTCCCCTAACCGAAAATGCGGCCCTAACCGAACATAACCTATGAAAATGCGGCCCTAACCTACAACATGCGGCCCTCCTGTACAATTACTAAGTATGAATACTGCTCTCCTCTTGTCCCTACCTCCTCCTCCAGCCGTTCGTTTTACCTCCTGTTCACCGCCTACCACCCCTCGAAAACAGGTTTCTCACACCCCGCGCCTCCTCCTCTTCGTCCTCGTCCTCCTCCTCGTCCTCCTCCTCCTCCTCGTCCTCCTCCTCCTCCTCCTCTTCCTCCTCCTGCTCCTCCTCCTCCTCCTCCTCCTCCTCCTCCTCCTCCTTCTCGTCCTCCTCCCCGCCCCGCAGAGCGGGGCGGCACGCCGTCCGCTCGCAGGGCTTCGTGCGCAGGTTGGGCCGCCGCCGCGACATACTGAGCCAAAATCCTCCCGGACCGTGCAGAAGCGCCCCTCCCCCCCGCAGGGCCGCAGCAGCAGCGCCGCCGCAGCCGAAGAACGAGGCCCGAGGCCCCGCCCGCCCGGCCGCAGCGCAGCCGTCACGATGGACGACCCGTGCGTGTCTCCGACCCGGCCCGCGGCCAGCTCCCGGCAGCCGCCGCCGATTCCCGCGGTGAGCGCCCGCGCGGGGGGCCCGCTGCAGGCGGCCGTGGCGGAGCACCTCTTGCAGCTGGGGCGCTTGCTCCGCGAGGTGCCCGTGCGGCCAAACCGGCTGCGGCGCCGTCGGGGACGGAGGGACACACCATGGCACGAGCACGAACTTTCGGTGGTCCGCGCGGGGTTCTTGGACCGGCGCGGGAGCCCCCTGGCAGGGTCTGCGGCGCCGCCCCGGGGAGTTGGTGGGGGGGGCAGCGCCGCTCCAAAAGATCCGCGCGGACCTCCAGGAGATTATGTTTTACGCGAGTCTCTGTCTCTCGAGGGAAGTCCCAGCGCGCCTCTTCGCCCTCGGTCCGAGAGGGGCCCTCCCGCAGATCCAGTGCATCAAGCAAAAATACAAGACGCAAGTCTCGCTATGGTCGGCCCTCTGCCCTTGCCGGGTCTCGCGAGACCGTCAAAGAACGCTTCAAGCTGAAACACCAGTCCCAGGGAAGGGGTCCTCTGGGGGCCCACGTCACGATATGATCACGGCGTCGGAGGTCTGGGGAGGGGGCGCCGGACGATGGGGTCCGGGGCTCCAGTCGAGGTGCTGTCCGCGGTGTTCAGAGGAGGAGGAGGAGGAGGAGGAGGAGGAGGAGGAGGAGGAGGAGGAGGAGGAGGAGGAGCAGGAGGAGGAGGAGGAGGGGGAGGGGGAGGGGGCGGAGGAGGAGGAGGAGGAGGAGGAGGAGGAGGAGGAGGAGGAGGGAGGAGAGGAGGAGGAGGAGGAGGAGGAGGAGAGGAGGAGGAGGAGGAGGAGGAGGAGGAGGAGGAGGAGGAGGAGGAGGAGAGGAGGAGGAGGAGGAGGAGGAGGAGGAGGTGGAGGAGGAGGAGGAGGAGGAGGAGGAGGAGGAGGAGGAGGAGGAGGAGCGGGGGGAGGAGGGGGAGGGGGAGTGGGAGGGTGGGTTTTGCCCAGTGTTTGGGCATACGGAGGCCGCGCGCAGGTCAAGCGGCGAGAGGGGGCAATCCCTGGCAGGGGAGGGCAAAATCCCCGGCGCAGGGCAGCGGCAGGCGGGCGCCGCCTCCCGCCTCGGCGCATCGACCGGAGCCCTGTGCCTGTAGCCAAGGCGCTGCAACGAGGGCCACCCGGGGCTCGGGCGAGGCCCCGGTTCTCGGGCCTCTCCCGAGAGATCTGCGGGGGCTGCCCTGTTTTGACACACCGGCTTGCTGGTCTAAGAACATTGCTTTTGGTCCTTAGAAAATTTTCAAGTTCTAACACGTCGTGGTAGGCCTGCAGGAATGCCGGGACAGTCGGTCCTCCTCCATTCGGCGCTCCCTGGCACGAGGACTGCACCCACGCAGGCCTGAGATCCGAGGTTGCGGCAAAAACGCAGCATCGCGACGAATCACGACTGGAGCCCTCGACTCCATCCTGCTGCTGCCTTCGATCGGGGGCTGGATCGACCTGCAGTGGCCCTGCGTGGCCCGAAGAAGCGAGGCAAGGCCGCTTGTTACGAACGAAAACAAGCCACGCCAGGATCTCAGTGAGGGTGGCGCTGAGACGCTGCCATATCCTCGATGGCGTCGGCCTTCGGGGGCCCACTTAGATGGCCGTCGGGGTGCCAAGGGGGATAGGGGAGTCTGTTGCGGAGGCGAATGTGTCGCCGCGCCGTTTGTTCCAACGCGCGGCCCTACGCCTTGGGGGCGGCGCCTCGGCCACCAGCGCAAAAACTCCGTCTCGGACGCAAGGTTCGCCGTGGGTTTGCCGCGGTGCTGGCGTCGTCTGCTTGGACGCCGGGCACTGGTTTTGCCGGGGGTTTGCCGTGGTGTCGGCGTCGTCCACTTGGGCGCGTCGAGAACAAACGGCGCGGCGACATGTAAGTTACGCCTGGCCTGACCTAGCTGATGAGCCCACTTGCTGGAGTTACGCAGCCCTCTTGATGCATTCGTAGCACTTGCAGCCCACTTATATGCTAGGTTCGGCCAGATACAGCCCACCATGACATCCACAACCCCGTCGCTGCGATCCGAAGTTGCGAAACAATGCGACGTCGTAGAAAGTCACACCCGGAGCCCCGGACCTCATTTTGGTGTGCCATTTTTGAGTCGGATCGATGTGTAGGGTCCTGGGGCCCGAATTTCCGCGAAAACGCCCGTTGCGAACAAAAATGCAACACCAGGATCTCCGGGAACCCTTGTGTCCCGTCAGCGAAATGTGAGCATTCGCGAGAATGTGAGGAGCTGCGAAACGTGAGCGTTGGCTCGCATGTGCGTGCGAGAAGGTGCTGCTGCAGGGCGGGCTGCGCCATTGGCGCTACGCATTTAGACCCCATCCCCACCCAGAGCGTCCGCGCAAGGAGAACCGTAACTCAGAGCCCCGAATCATCAGGGGTAACTCGGGTCAGGGCCAACTGGGGTTCGTTTTTCGGGAATCCGAACCCGAGTTACCGCGGGCCCGAGTTACCCCGGATAATTCGGGCGTCCAGAGCCCTAACTCATCAGGGGTAACTCGGGTCAGGGCTAACTCGGGTTCGTTTTTCGGGAATCCAAAGCCGAGTCACCCCAGGCCCGAGCTACCCCGGATAGTTTGGGCGCCCAAGTAACCGTAACCGTAACCGTCTATCCCCTCCGCAACCCCAGACCCCCGACGTCATGATTTTTTACACTACGTCGACCCCTGAAGGTCTGGACCCATTCCCCTGGACCGGTTTTTCACCCTGAGTCGTTTTTCGACGGGCCCGAGGCCCGGTAAGGGACCCTGGAGGCCGAAATAGCGAAAATACCGATTACTTGAGGGGGTCTGGGACCGCCGCGGTCCTCCAAGCAGAGGTGGATGCCGAGACCGGCGCCCTCGCGGAGCGCCTCGCCGGCGCGGTCGCGGTGAGCACCGCGGCGCTGTCGGCGGCCGGCCCTGGGGCGGCCGCGGTCCCGCTGGCGGGAGGGGACTTCGGCCGCCGCCAGGGCGTGCGGAGGTGCCCGGAGAGCCTCCAGGTGTCTAGGCCTCCTAGATGGGGTCGGAGTCCCAGTTATGATCGCGTCGTGCAATTTTCGGGACCCGGGACCCTCAAAAGAAGATTCAGGATGCAAAACCGGCCCCAGGAAAGGGTCGGGACTTCCGTGGACGCCGTCCTGAAAAAAGCAGGACGTCGCATGTCTGGGGTAAGTAGATGGGGTCGGAGGATCGCGCCGCATCGCCGATGTATCGCCGATGCGGCTCGAGGTAGGGTCCGATTTGCTTCACGTCGACGGCGCCGATGCATTGCCCACGTCGACGATGCATCGCCGGTGAATCGCCGGTGCATCGCCGATGCATCGCCGATGCATCGGCGATGCGGCGAGATCCTCCGACCCCACCTACTCGGACCCCATCTAGGAGGCCCCCACAGGCCGGTCGGGTTCGGAAGCCCGGGCCCCCTTGCGCCGTTTGGCGAACAAAGTCACGGAGGGAGGTGGGGTCGAGACCCCTGGGTCCACGTCATGAGCGAGAGGAGCAGTGAAGGATGAGCGTGTGTTTCCCCAATCAGTGCTTGCACTGAAGGGGTCCCAGGGGAAGATTTTGCGAAAGTGTTCCGCCGATTTGGGTGGCCGGCTGGGTTCCCGGTTCTGGATTCCCGGGCTCCTGGTCACCCTAGAAGACAAGACGTCGTAACCAAATCAAGCGCCCAAAGTATTTCAACTTACAATGGTTTGTTGCGTGCACGGGCGACACCAATTCGTCCTCTTGTTGGACCGACTTTGTATGAGAGGGGTGCATTGTTTTGATTTGTTTGCGCGACATTTGATTACGAAGTGTGATTTGGTTATGGTCTGGTTATGAAAAGCTCACATTTGGTTACGATCTGGTTACGCTACATCAAATTTGGTATCGATTTGGTTACGTTCCAATATGGTTACGATGTGCTTACGATTTGGCTAGATGGGGTCTGTCGTGGAAACGGATGATGTGCTCAAGTGCTGTCTGGCAGGGCTTTTGTAGTCTATAGTCTTTAAAGGGCCCCCCTCCGCGGGACGCGGACCGGCGACTGCACCGCCCCCCCTGCAAAGACCATGCAAAGGCCACCGTGCAAAGACCATGCAAGGACTATACCCTGCAAAGCCCCTGCAATACCCCAGGAGGCCCGAAGAGGCCTCCAGGAAGCCCCAAGAGACCCCCAAGAGACCCCCAAGAGGCCCGAAATAGGGATAACGGCGCCATGCGGAAGCACCCAGTGGGGCCATAGGTGGAGCTCCTTATGGGGCACGGAGGAGGAGGAGGAGGAGGAGGAGGAGGAGGAGGAGGAGGAAGACGGAAGACTGCAGGAGGACGAGGGTGAGGAGGAGGAGGAAGACTCCCTCTCCTCATTCATGCGTGTTTCTTATTATTTGTTCGGGGGGGGTGGACGTTCAGCCATCTTTTGCTACATCTTGGGGCATCAAAGGCCCACCGGGGGCGAGTAATTAGGCGATACAGCGAACATCTGCCTGACAGGCACACTGCATATCCATTGATTTCGCAATGTCAGGGGCGTATTTTGGAGGCTCCGTGGCCACGCTAAGCCAACACTTGGGGCTGTTCTTGAGGCCTTTAGCCATCATTCTGGAAACCACAGTGTACCAGCTTGGGCAGACGCCCTCCTGCTTCGCCCGCCCCCTTCTTCAGCCCCATCGGCAATGTCGAACATGGTCGTTTCGACATACGGTTATAAGGTTGTGATGATTTGGTTACGATTTGGTACGATTTGGTTATGAGTTGGATACGATCTATGTAACTGGGATATGATTTGGTTACGGAAATTGAACAGTATGGTTACGATTTGGTTATGCGAGCATCGTTCCCGAACGATATTGGTTACGGGATTGTTCAATGCACTTTGATAGCTCAAGTGTGTGAGGGGCCGCTCGTAACCATATTCTTCGCGTTTTGTTTACGCGCAACCCTTTCGAGCGTAACCAAATGATTTGGTTATGTACACAAATCATGCACTGATTGGGTTTTTTTCTCTGGTGTAATCCCTTTCCCTTTGGTCAGGGGCAACGTTGAGGCGGGGGTTAGGCGGGGGGGGATTCATCGACACCCAGCCGCCCATTGATCGCCGACAGGGGCCCGACAGGCCGCTCCTCAAGATGCTTGCCAATCGGGGGCCTCTCGCTGATCTATCGGCGATGTATTACCCCAGGTCGATGTGTTCCCCCCCTGAGCCGGTCCCCCTCCGACTCGTGTAACAGAAGTTTGCAAAACATGAATTGTCGCAGGTCCGCGCGGAGTTATTGTATCGGCGTTGGAGGCGTCCTGGTTGCGCGGGACGGACTTCCGAAGGTTTTTTTAGTCCGTCATTCTCTGCTCCCCGATTATACGCCCCACCATCACCGAGGCCCCACCACTCAGGGCCCCATTTGTGAACCGCCACCGGCAGGGGCCGCACGTGTCTCCGGTCCCGAGCAGCGCCAGCAGCTCCCACGGGGCCGGCCTGTTGCCCCGGTACCTGCTGCCGAGGACGCGGAGCAACACGTCCCTGCCAGACGCGGCTCAGCACAACAGTGGGGACAGCACGGTCATCAGGGAGGAAGAGGAAACATCATCTGCACGTCCGCGGACAGTTCTACACCGCCACCGTGCCTGGCAAGCGCCATCTGGGGCACAAGGACCAAGAGATCATCCGTCACCGCGGCTTCCCCGTAACGCTCTGGACGAATCTGTCGCGACCGAAATTCGGCCTCCAGTCGCGAATCCTGGCGCCGAGCGAGCCGCCGACGTCTTCGAAACCCTCACTTGGATCCTGAGGGTTTCTCCGAAGGGCTTAGCCGAGGCCAGGTTTTAGAGCGGGCCGGGCGTTTCGCTTGAGACTTCCTCACCATGTCTGGCTCTGAAGCTTACAAAGTGACAACAGGTTCACAGATGGAGGGCGGGTCGTTTTCAATATGTGGCTCTCGCTTTTGCGCCGCGCTCATGCGCTTTCAAAAATTGCAAGAGCTTCACGGATTGAGGGCGGGTGGTTTTCAATATGTGTCTCTCGCCTTTGCGCCGCGCACATTCGTTTCCAAAAAGTGCAAGAGTTTCACGAATGGAGAGCGGGTGGTTTTCAACATGTGGCTCTCGCCTTAGCGCCGCGCACATTCGTTTTCAAAAATTGCAAGGGTGTCACGGATTGAGGGCTTTCGTTTTGAACATTTGCAAAAGTTTCACGGAGTCCCATGATCAACCTACCAAAAATGGTGCTCTGGACGGATTCAGGATATATGCGGGTGCAACCGTTATGTTGATTCGTGGCGTTGAAGTCCCAGCAATGGCGTTCTGGCACGATTCCGGATCGTCAAGACGCAGCCGTCAGGTTGACACGTGGCGTTGAAATCCCGAGAACAATGTTTTGGCATGCTTCAGGATCTTCAAACGGTTGTCTTCCAAAGAGGCAGTCGCCCCAATGGAAATGAACCGTTGTAGGGGCCTATAAAGAGGGAGCTTGCAGGGAGGGTTCATTCCGACATCGTTGATGACTCTTGGGTTTACACTAGTCCTCTTCCTCCTTCTCCTCCTCCGCCTCCTGGGCAACCAGGGCAATCTGGAGAAGTCTAGAGTCAAACAGTGTGCAAAATTAAACAAAACAGAAAACTCAGGTGCCCCCCCCCATCCTCGTATCCTCGGCCTGGTACACCGTGTCCCGCTGGAGCGCCACGGCCGGGTCGCCCAACGGTGACCTGGCGATCGGAGCAGCAGGGCCAAGTCTGAAGTTGGTCATTGGTAACTTGCCGGCGAGGAGGGCCTTAAGTTCCTTAGACTTCGGGTTGGGGGTACACCTCTTCCGAAGAGATAAGGCCTTCGCTGTGGAGAAACAACCACAAGAGGCACAGAACAAAACTGGGGTCCAATGAGGGACCGTCCAGGAAACATGCAACTCGTGGCCCCCCAAGAAACCAGGAGTGGCCAGGACACGCTGCAGAGATGGGTTCAGCCATGGCATTCTGACCTGGAACACGCACTGACACGCCTCATACAGTATTCACAGCGGTAGTGGTCACCATTCCAATAAGGTGTGTGTGGGTCTTTAACACAACGACGACCCCGCGGGCCCACACTCCCCTTATTGAGCTCTCCGAAGGCTTCCCCTGGGGTGGGCCACTCCGCTAAAATTGTGGCCATCGCCGATTACAGTATGAAGGATCTCTTGAGGCTGCAGAGGGGAGAAGTCGTACATCTGGGCTCCCTGGGCAGCCAGCCAATCAGCGGCCTTGTTGCCTCTGATGGCTGTGAGGTCCTCGGGGCTCTCGGCTTGCTCCTCACTCCTGTGGGCCTTCGTCTTAAAGAGAGTAAGCCAACGAGTCGGGATATCACACGCAATCTTACGAAAGAAATTGCCATTGAGTGAATTGTGAGACAAAGCGCCCTGGGGGTCCCTCCCCGCTCTGATGAGGGCCTGATAGTCTACTGTTAGAGAGTTGGGCAATCCTCCTTCGGTATGGATTGCTCCAACCATAAGGGCAGCCCGTTCACCAGCCCCAGAGGTTTGGCCAAAAAGTTTGAGAACAGGTCCGAATAACCCACGGTGCAAGTCCCCTTGGTCGTCAAGCTCAACAGCTCCGAAGCCTGCGCGGGCCAACTCCCCCAACGTGGGTCGGATGCAGCTTCCATCAGGGCAGAGTTTCGCACCGCGGGAAAACTCAAAACGATCACAAAGGCCAGACTTATCTCGACAGTGCAACTCCCAGTCGGCAGCTGGGTCTGGGACCTCAAACTTGGGGAGCCATGCTCTCGTGGAAAGGAAACTGTCTGGTCCCGCCGCCAATGCATCTTGTAGCACTTCGGGGGTGCACGCTTCCGAAGGTATTTGTGCGGCAAATGGGCACTCCCAACAGCGATGGAAGGTCGTGTCGGCCTTCGCACAGTGCCTGGACTGGAGAGGCACCGAGTTACCCCACTTGCGAAGGTTCTCTGCTGTTGGGACCGCTCCTCCCATCACTTGCTTCCAAACCGAAACAGCTCTGGGTGGCAACTTATGTGCCGAGCGAAGAAACCTGGCCATGATTTCCCACAAAAGCCCTCGCTCTTGGAGGGCCGGGGCTTCTGAGCAGGGGTGACGATCGACAACTTTACGGGCAGCAATCTGGCTCCTCCTCCTCCTCCTCCTTCTCCTCCTCCTCCTCCTCCTCCCTCCTGCTCCTCCTCATCCATCCCTCCTCCCCCTCCCCCTCCTCCTCCTCTTCCTCCTCCTCGGAAGCCGTGCACGCTGCGTCTCGTCGTTAACGACATTCGACCTCCCCCGGTCGCGACCGAACTGTGGCGCGAACGAAATCCCTTTCGGGGGTGGCGTGTAGGTCCTTCCGGCTACGGTCAGAAGGGCATGCGCATCATACCAGGGCAGAGCGCAGGATGGCTCTGGCCGTGCCCAGAGATGGCTCATGGAAGCATGTGACACAGTCGTGCGAGGTCCGCGCAGATCTCTCGGATCGGCGCTGGGCTTCCCTTGCGGCGCCGTCGGCGCCGCCCCTGGCGCGCTCCGGGCGTCGGGTAGGCTGGCCCAGCGCGGCTCCAAGGGATCCGCGCGGGCATCCGAGAGCATGTCCGTGTCTGCGCAGCTGCTCCGCCTCTCTTTTGTGCAGGTGAGCTCCCAGAGTGTGCAGGCCCCCGTCGGCGTCGGCTTCAGGACGGCGTCCCTCGAGGGCTTCCACGGCAGCGTCCTCTCGGTGCCCTCGGGCGATTACTCGGCCAGCCAGTCGATCACCGAGGACGCCAACACCGCAGACATCGTGGACGTGCTGGCGCGTGGCGGGCCCAGGACCGTGTCCTCGGAGCGGCTCGGCAGGTGGACCCTGGGAGGCAGTCGGACCTTCCAGGTCCTGCAGAGTCCCTGGCTTGAGGCGTTCTGGGCGTGCCTGATAGTCCTCAACACGATCGTCATGATCACGCAGGAGGAGTACATGGGCGCCAAGGCGGGGCATGGCCTCGGCTACTACACGCGCTACGGGTCGCCCGAGTACAACAGGGCCTACTGGCCCGGCGCCGAGAGCGCGTTCCTGGTACTCGAGTCGACCTTCGCCGTGCTGTTCACCGTGGAGGTGTTGATCGGCTTGTTTTCCACCACCACCACCACCATAAGTTGGAGGGGGGAAGGAGAATGATGACGAGGAGGAGGAGGAGGAGGAGCAGGACGAAGAGGAGGAGGAGGAGGAAGAGGAGGAGGAGGAGGAGGAGGACCTCCTCCCCCTCCAACTTTTGGTGGTGGTGGTGGCGGAAAACAGGCCCATCAGGTGTTCCTGAGCATGCTGAGCAAGGGGCTGCGGTTCTGCAAGGACCCGTGGGAGCTGCTGGACTTCACCGTCGTGGTGTGCTCCGATCTGTCGGTGCTCTTCGTGCTCCTGTCGGCGGACGACAGCTTGTCCGAGGGGCCCGTCAATGTCTCGATGTTCCGATTACTTCGTCTCGCTAAATTGGTGCGGCTGGTGAAACTGCTCAGAAAGATCGAAGGATTTGACGCCTTGCACCTGATGTCGACGGCCCGATCTGTCGGTGCTCTTCGTGCTCCTGTCGGCGGACGACAGCTTGTCCGAGGGGCCCGTCAATGTCTCGATGTTCCGATTACTTCGTCTCGCTAAATTGGTGCGGCTGGTGAAACTGCTCAGAAAGATCGAAGGATTTGACGCCTTGCACCTGATGTCGACGGCCCTAAAGAGCAGCCTCGCTGCGCTAGGGTGGTCTTTCGTTCTCATTGTGCTCTTGCAGACGTTCTTTGCACTAGTCATGACGTCTGTGATCAGAGTGTATTCCTTAAACGACAGCAATACCGAATTGAGCCAAGAGGTCAAGCTTACGGCCTTTTTATATTTCGGCACATTCGTGCGGTCGTTTTTCACTCTATTTGAGGTCGCGCTCGCGAACTACCCGACCGTCGCCCGGTTCATGGTCGAGGAGATTGGCGAAGGGTGGTTGATCCCCATTGTCCTATACAAGTTTGCCATAGGCGTTGCCGTCATGGGTGTTTTGAATGGCGTCTTTATCCAGGTGCCTACGGCAAGTCCAACCGCCGTGCAAGCTCTGCTTCCTGGGTGGCACAGCTGCGAGCACCGAGCATCTTCACATACGACATCTCTCGCGCTCACTTCTCGACGAGCCCTCATTGAGCTTATATGGGGGAGTTTGGGGGATCACTTTGGACCATCTCGGGCCCTCTTGGGCCGTCTCAGGGCACTCTTGGGCCCAGAATTGGTTTGCTTTGCCCAGGGCCCAGCGATCCTGCAAGTACGCATGTTTCTCCCTACTAGTACGCCTCGTGGTCGTATCAGTACGCCTACGTATCCGCACTCGCTCGATAGACCTTGCAAGCCGCCGTCTTAGTAGTACGCCTACATCGCCCTATATGAGTATTCCCTGCGGTATCAAACTAATAAGCCTACTTCGCCCTACTAGTACGCCGCGCGGTCGCACTGGTACGCCTACGTGGTTTTACTCGTACGATCGACCTTGGACGGCATGACCAAACTAGCACGCCCAGCGAGATCGCATTAGTACGCCTACTTCGCTCTACTAGTTCGCCGCGCGGTCGTACTCGTACGATAGACCTTGCTCGCAGTAGTCGTAGTAGTGCGTCTGCGTAGCCCTGCTTGTTTACCCTGCGAGATCGTACCGGTACGCCTCGCCTTACTAGTTCGCCGCTCGGTCATACTATTACGCCTACAGCCCTGTTGCTACGACTGGCGTAGAGGGCCCCCGTTCGAGACATCCTCACATTTCCGCCCTGGCGGGGGCTACTGGTAGGGCCACCTGGCGTTCTGCTACTGTTCATGGGGGGGGGCTGGGTGGTACCACCTGCGAAGAGGGCTCCCGCCAGAGACATCCCAGGCGGGCGCATTGCTAGCGTCAAAGCAGCCATTGCTGGGGCCAAGTCGGCCTACTGGCACGACCCAGAGCGGGGAACCCCGCTCTGGCGGGCGTACTGCTAGGATCAGCCGTAGTCAGTATAGTACGTGGAGGGTTTCTCCGAAGGTCTTAGGCGACCCGTCCTCCTCCTCCTCCTCCTCCTCCTCCTCCTCCTCCTCCTCTCCTCTCTCCTCCTCGCTCTGGTTGCCCCTCCTACTCCTCCATCTCCTCCTCGCCCTCTTCTTCCTCCTCTCCCTCTTCTTCCTCCTCCTCCTCCGCCTCCTCCTCCTCCTCCTCCTCCTCCTCCTCCTCCTCGGGTCGGCTACGGCCCTGGGGGAAACCGTGCAAGTAGCCGTAGTCAGTATAGTACGACCCCAGAATGCTGGGGATGGGGACAGGGAGAGTCGTGCGCGTACGACCGGCGGCGAGGGTCCCCGCTCGCGACATCTTCGGAGTTCCGCCAGGAAGGGGCCAACAGCAGGGCTCCTCAGGCGTTGTGGCACGACCCCAGGATGCTGGGAGGGCTTAGGGCCACTTAGGCCCAGTCGTACGACCGCTCGAGACATCCTCACAGTTCTACCGCGGCGGGGGCAATTAGTGCGGCTGCTTTGGCGAGCTGGTATGGCCCAGGTTGTTCCTGGCCATGGGGTACTAGTAGGGTTGCTGAGACCTACTAGTACGACCTGCGGAGGATTGCCCCCGCCCGAGACGACCCCAGGATGCTGGGGGATGAAGACGCGGAGTTGGTTGATTGGTGTATTGGGTTACGGTGTAGATAAATGAAGGTACGTTTGGACCCTCTTTTATGGAAGTGCTCGTTGGCCGAGGGTCGATAAAAGAGTCCTCGGCCCCCTCCAAAGCCTGAGCGGGCGTACTAGCAGTGCTACGTAGGGCTACACATACGACGGGTGGAGATGGCCCCCGCTCGAGACATCCTCACAATTCTTCACGCTGAGCCGCATCGCGTGTC